GTGTGTCGACCATCAGGCTCTGAGAGACGGTGGAGGCCTCCTCAGGTTGCAACAGCTGGCGCTCTCCACACCTTCTCACCCCTTCCCACTCGGTATCACACTGCTTCATCGCTTTGCATCGTGGCCTAGTTTATTCTTCTCATTTCCCCTGATGCAATCCCGCTCCCACGGCGCCGATCACCTTTAGCTAGTTGTCAACAAACGATGGCTTCCCAAGCGGGGTCGGCGAGCGGTGGTCTAGCGGCCGAGCCAGGAGGAGAGAATAGAGCAGTGAGTTTCGAATTCTCGACTTTATTCGTGCATTTCCGCGTGGGTTCTAACATGAACGGCGTTCCAGGAGGAGAGAACTATCACTGCTCACGACGGCGAAAGGATTATCACCGCAATACCGACCATGACACCGATCGGTAACCCTGGCGCAACAGATCCCGACTGTCTCTTTTACGATGGCAATCCTGACGCGGCACAAGAGAGAGACGTGTGGTGGGCCTTGAGAGTCGCAGCGACCGCGGCAGTGATTATCTCTGCCATTCTTGTCACCGTCTGCCTGCGAATGAAGGACGTTGGCCGGGTTTACCAGATCACGGCGACCGTTGCGACTGTCACATGGATACTGTCGTTCTCGGCTGTCTTTGTGATATTGTTGCGCCGACAGAGCACGGCTCTCCGCAAAAAGCTATATGCCTGCTTCACGTTCATCCTCACGCTCCACCTGCTGGGATTCGGGTTGCGGGTAGAACAAGTATGCCTTGGCGATGGGTCGGCTTGCGGGCCACTGGCAGCGACAGCCAGTGCGTTCATCATGTCGGTCATGTTTGAGGCCAAACTTGACATCATCGCCGCACTACAAGAAGCGTGAGCGGAGAAAGAGGAAAGGGGATTGAACTCCCACCCAACATAATAATTTACGTTGCCAGCTTTGGGTGGGGCGGTGTTCGCTGGCCATGTTGCCGACAAAGGTTCGGCAGCAGCTTGGGCATGGAGGGTTCGCATTGGACAACGCGGTTGGAAATTCCAAATCAAAGGACTTTAAAATCTCACGTTGCGCTAGCTTTTTACTGCTGCTTCCTCCTCGCTGCCGTTCCGAGAATACGGCAGGGCTGCCCTCCGGAGTTGCTCCAGGGATTGCACAAAATGTTCAAGTTGTTAGCCTCCTGGTCCTTACAGTGGTGACATTCCTGATTGTCTTTGGATTCATACTGAGTTAAATGAAACAACGCTGCGCACGAGGCAAATAAGGCAAGGGTGGTCTCAGAATTGCCTTGCCTTGCCAGAAAAAGAAGCCCTTTGCTTGCTTGTCTCTGCAAGCACAGCCCCTATTTTCGAGCTTTGCAGCCACAGAGCCAGGGGGTGGTGGCTAGTGTGGAAAAAAGGGGCCCGTGCCAATGTATGGGTCTGCTAGACAGCGGAGTCACAGGACCGTAGTCACGTGACTCCAGAGCTCTGAGCCCTCCCTAAGAGGGCTGCAGGAGTCTGGCCATCGCCAGATTCCTGCAACAATAATCACCATAGCCAGTATTACATCATTCCATTCACCACTCTGCAGCCATTCTAGCCTCGAGACCGTGATGACCACGCTCTAGGCTTCCACTCCACGACCTTCCAGTGCATTGTCGCCTTCCAGGCTCTCCCAGCTTCCAGCCCGCGCGGCTTTCCAGACTCCCTCGCCCTTCAGGCTCCGGAGCCTCCCGTCTTCCACGCCCGCATTGTACCGCTTCCCCGAGTCAGCAGCACTTACAACATTAATATTATTTAATTTTTACTTTACTTTTTCTTTTACAGGTTATAGCCCCACTTTTAATTTTTATAAAAAATACTATTATATAAAGTAGAAAAACGCCTTTAAAATGGTTGACTTTTTATTCTTTTTGGCCAAGCGGTTGGCCAGATGCACGCGTTTGAATATTAAGGGGTTAGAAAGGGGTAGTGGTTGGTACAGCAGTAGCGATTTTGCGCAGTTTGGCCTCAGACCCTTCGGCGGTGTTTGTGTGTGGGGTGTTCTGATTGGCTGGTTGGAGTAGTGGGGCTGCGGTTACAGGGGGGGTACAAAGCCACCGCAACGAAGGGGCTGAGTTTACTGAGATAAGGGGTTGCATGGTTCAACACGAGAATGGAACACAACACAGAGAGGCTCAGCACGTTGTCGAATAGTTCCATGCACTGGAAACTCGTTAGTTGCCATTGAGCTACGAGGATCAAGGGCGCAAAGGCAATCTCCGGGTGGTGAGCAGGGTCAAACTGCGAGTTAAGCTCTTTCCCATTCAGTCCAGTCAGAGCTTCAGACTAGGGTGTAATAAGTGGGCAGTTATCACGCCAGACATCAACCGCCTGGAGACTAATGTGGTTAAGATCAGCACAATGCCCTTTAACACAAAGCTCTAGGAGGTTCATCGATTATTGAGCTATCTAGGAATAAGGTACACATGCTACAATCGTAGGTGATATCAACTTAGTCGCGAAGATCTACCCTAAGGCGACCAAAGTCATCAACAACACACCTCACTTCAAAAACTCACTATTCGCTCCTACACTCTAGATCTTACACCCTATTTCCAGCTCAACCAATATACAAATTACCCGTTCACCCCGATTAGGCGCACGCCCGCCACGTACACTAGCGGATGTAATATAGTCAGCAACCCAACCCCGGCATTTAGCCAAGAACTCTACCAAGAGCCTCAAACTATCATGATCCCCACCCATCAACAACCTCACCGCACTCGCTCGCCAGCCACGTAACCATGCCGCCTAAAAGCCAACCCACCTCATTCCTCCTCACCCTCCTAGCCCTCCCCCTCCTCACCACCTCAACCACACCCACAGCACTACCACCCTGCTCGTCCCCGTCCCCTTCCCAGCCCCTGTGGGTTGTTTCCCAGTGGTCTACAAACTTCACTGTTCCCAACGAGCAAAGTGTCTCCTTCGCACTCGAGAACACACTCACGGGATACGTTACGTTTTGCCTCCGTGAGGGTCCGTACCCTGAGGGCTTGTGTATGCCAAGTGAGGACGAATTGGAAAGTTCAGAGGACACCGGGACGATATTCTCGTATAGTGAGCGGGTGGGGATCTTGGAAGTTTATCAGGAGTGGGGATGTAGAGGGGAGGGGGAAGGGGAGGGAGAGAGGTTAGTGCTGCTTTGTTTTTACGTTGTAGCCACTGGCAGGAAGGGGCTGACGGGTTTAGCAGTGCTGCGAAGCGGGCGCAGGCGGATGGGAAGGTGACGGTGCTTGAGGAGTGTGTGGTTGGGAACGAGGTGAAGAAGGGGGAGATGTGTGGGCGGCAGGGGGGAGGGGAGATTTACGTGAATCAGTTTGAGATCGTGGGGTAGAGGTGACGTCCGACTAGGGTAGGGGAGAGATGATTGGCCGATCTTGAGATCAGATGAGTGTTGTCTTTGCTTGGAGGATGTTGTCAAGCGTCGGTGATGGTGGTTCAGGGGCAGATTGCACTCCATGTCATCTCAAACCAGGTGCAGTTGATATCAGTTCGGAGTTCGCTCGACGCTTCTGCAGGTCGCCCTTCGCGCTGAGGAACAAACCCTCCTTGGGTCCTTCTTTCTTCCTCTCATCTTCCAGTCTACAATCCCACCCGTCAATTCTCCAGAGCGCCTCTCGGGATTTCCAACACCATTATTCTGTCCCTCGCTGGCTTCCCTCTTTGCGGACACCTCACGAGGCGTCGAGCCTCTTCGAGAGAGAAATTCCCATCGAAACACCCTCGTGCCTCCTTTCCTCCACCAACCGAGATCACCCGTGAGGATTTGCATCGTTTCTTCATCCTCTTCGCAAGGAAATACAACACATTCCTCCTGCATCCCTCCCCGTCGGCACCCATAGCGGTAAGCGTCGACCGAGATTTAGGTTGTCAGCGGTTGGACCTCCGAGGGCGTCGGCAAGACCAAAATGCATGATGCTGAGGATGGCTAGATTGCTAGTATACATGTAGATCTGGAAATTTAGACTCAAGTCCGCCACTGCAGCAACCCCATGACTGCATGGAGGAGGGGAAGATCCCTGAGAAGTCAGTGACAGACATAGACAGCTGCAGCCTGCGTTGCATGATAACTTCTTCGAGACGGTCATGTATGCCGTGACTCATCCCAACTTCCTGAACAGCTTTCTTCTGCGTCTCCCACAATCTGATACGTGAGAGTTGGTGTTGCTTGCGGCCTGTCTGCGGTGACGACTGGTTCAAGACGTTCGTAGTCCAGTCCATCACGACCAGCCAATAGTCAAGTCATATCAGCATAGTCTTGAGACTTATAATTGGATGAATTCGCAACCTGCGATCTGATCTCAGCATCCTGGACCTTAGGTGTAAAGCAGAGCTCGACTAACATAGGTCTGGAGTGTAACTCATCAGGCAGGCCATTTTCAGAGAATCAGCAAGACACCAACAGTCACATATCTTAGGCGATGCATATACTGAATCCCAACTTCATCCCAAACTCGACCGCTTTCTGTGTGCATCATAGCCATAGAAGCTCCCGCCCCTTCTTCATGACCCCCGACTTGTCGGTCCTATTCACACCGGCCGACCTGTCAGTGCCAGCTTCGACGGGCCTCAAAACGGTAACGCCCTTGTCAACTTGGTGATTGGGGTACTGTTGCACGCCAAACATCACATTATGGGAGGAGATACCATGAGGTCTGGTGATCGTGCTTTTGCAGCCCTCCATGAAGCACTCTGTGCCAGACGCTCATCCGCATCAAGGGTGCCTCGCAAGTGCGCTCCAGTCAAGGCGGGTTAGATGTTTCAGCCAGCAGAGCAGGTCGAAAGAGAAGTTGAACCTCGCAAATTCAGCATGAGAGTCGCAAGCTGCCAACTCAGAGTGATGATCTTGTCACAGCGCAGGAGGCAGAATCTTATCATTCCTTACAGGGACGCGTGAAGCAAAAAGAAAAAAGAAATTTGCCCTTCAGCAGACAACAATGGAAATCCAAGGAAGGAACCAACAAAGCTCGAAACTCCATCCGATAGCAAAACACAAAGTAATTCGTCACCGACAAGACTCGAACTTGCGCGGCCGAAGCCAACAGATACCTGACAATTGATTCAAGTCTTTCCCCTTAAACCACTCGGGCACGGTGACTTTTAATGTGTGTTCTGTGAATTGGAGTCATACATAGTCCCCTGGGTGGCTCGGGCACACAACACAACCCTGAAAGCCCCTGAGGACGCAAGTCACCACAACTCCAGTCTCTCAAAATATTCTCATCGAGAACAAACGCTCTTGGATTCTATCCGGGCGGTCTGCGCACTATTAAACCAGTCCTACTCGCTGCTGTATGATATGGGTATTTTCGAAACATTGAGTTACCACACTAAACTCGCACCGCACCGCATCACGCTCGCGAAACTAAACATTCCAACCGACCTCACATCTTCAACATCTTCATCTCCGGAGCCAACACCGACGCTACCGCCAACACCGTCGACAACACCCCAGCCCACACGACCGCAAAGGAAATCGTCCTATCCTGCATCTTCCTCAGCGTCGGGTTCTGCACCGGCGTCGTCTGATCCATAATCTTGGACCACAAGCTCCGCTTCTTATACAGGTGATACCACCGCGTATCAGTATAGTCGTTCTTCGGCCCAAACGTCCTCATGCTCGGCTTCCGCAGCGGGTCCGACCCGTTCCCGCCCTTGCCGCCCTCACTGACGGTGCTATCCCCCGTGTTCTTGCGCGAGTGCGTCCCGACGAAGCTCACCCCCGCCTCTGCCTCCTTCTCCGACGCGCTAACGGCCTGCGGCGAGGGCGAGTACACGTCCTTCACGCCTTCGGCCTCCTTGTCGCCGGGGAAGATCTCCCAGGGCCGCAGCTCCCGCACGTCGCGGAAGTGCAGCAGCAGGCAGAGGCTCTTGCACGCCGCGATGAAGACGGCGAAGCCCGGCCACCAGAAGACGACACACGCGATGCGGATGAAGCGGCTCAGTCGCGAGAGGATGAGCATCGCGTCGAGGCCCATGCCGATCATGACGGCCAGGACGCCGAGCGTGCGGAGGAAGTACATGGATGCGGGGTTCGCGTTGGAGCGGATCCAGCGGATGAAGGCGGGGTGGAGGTTGGATCGCAGGTTCTCTTCGACGGCGAGGAAGGCCGGGAGCAGAGCGGAGGGGTGCGTGGTGTGGGGGGCGGCGGTGAGGCACCATTCGCGGTCCTTGTCAGAGAGGCGGAGAGCTCGGGGGGAGGTGCCGACGATGTAGTGCTTGACGACGCCGCAGTACTCGTTGCGGAAGGGTTGGACGGTGACTGCAGTGTGTGAATATCGGGTGGCACCAAGAAAAGGGAGGGGGGAAACGACTTACACCAATCTGGCTTGGGGGGTTCAACCGCTTTTTGCGGCGGCGGTGTCCCAGGCCGGGCAAAGTCATCGTCGGGAGAAAAGCTGGTCTTGATCGGGGGACATTTCCAGGCGGTCTCGGCCTCGTCAGGCTTCTCCTCAACGTCGGTCTCCTTGAGGTGGGCGAGGATCTTGTGCAACTTCTCGCCGCGCTTCTGGTTGTTGAGCTGCGGGATGAGGCGGAACTTGGGCCCCTTGATGGCCTTTCCGGGCTCCCAGGCCGGCGAGAGGGCCTTTTGCCGCGCCGACAGTGCCTTCCATCGTGGGATGTAGTTGATGTACCAAAGATAAAACTGGAGGTCTTCGGCTTGGTGCTCGACGAAGACGAGGTAGTCCATGAAGTCGTTCAGGGAGCATGGCTGCAACTGTCAGTGCACGACCCTCAGAGCTCAAGACCAAAACACATACCACTGGCGTCTCGTTCTTGACGATGGCGTCAAAGGACAGCCCATCCGGGATGAACTTTGGGTTCGGGGACGACCGCCCCAGGGCCGATTCGAAGTCCTCCATTGTTGAGTCCAGACTGGAGCCTGTCGAAGCCAGTTCGAACGTTCGCGAATTTGGTGCCAGCCACAGTTACCGCAGCTCCAGGCCAGGTAATGGGAGAAAATATGAGACGATAATCGACGGCAGAGCGGGGGGCCAGGTTATATCGAGTGGAGCAGCGACAAGGAGGTTCGGAAGCTAAGAGGCATAGGCCGCCTGACGGGATCGCCCAGAGGACCGTCACGGCACCAGGCGAGTCCAATCGATGTCTTGCATGGGAAACAAGCACGGGCAGAGGCCACCGGAAAGTGGGTGTGGAGAGGGTGCACTCCTTGCTTCATCGGCACTCGCTTGATGCCATTGGAGGGGGCCGCTCACTAGGCCCGCACACTGGCCCGAAGCCGTTGCGCCCACACACCAGAGGAATGGGCAGTCGCTGGTTTGTGCATCGCGTTTTAGAGTTGGTAGTACACGGGGTCGACGTTGCCAATGGGGCCCAAGATGCCGCGCAAATGCAGCACATGCGACTTGCTGACCACACACGCGCCCCAGAACCTGTCGTTGCGCCGCCCTCGTCTGGTGAGTTGGACTCCGTCGGCTTTTTCCGTTGTTGGTGGCGCGTCCGGGGCCTCCGCATCTTGGGACAGACAGCCTGTCAACCACGAGGCGATCTGTTGGCTAGGATCGAGCAGCGAACAGACCGACGCAGCGCCGGGGCAAAGCAATGGAAGCAAAGCATCGCTCATCACAGGGCTGCTGCCGCTCGCATTGACCTCGCAAGAAGGGCCGAGAATTCGTCTGGTGCTGTCTTTGCCCTTCTGCAAGGTCCTCGTCCTTTTGCGCCCCATGCCTGATGCGGCACCTCAAACACCCCTGACGTTCCCCGCGTAAGGCGACGCGTTTCAGAGCGTGGGACAGCACCGCCAATGAGGACCAATCAAGCGCCAATCGATCGCCAAGATTTGCTGTGCCCCTGCCAAGCCTCAGACATTCCCATCCAACGGTAGGGCGCTTGCCTGGACCTTCGGGAGGCAAAAGAGATGCCGACGCCGACCTTTGCCCAGTAGATCTACGCATCCGAGGTCGAATGCTTTTCGTTCGAGTTCTTGCGCACCAGCCCTTTTGATGGTGGCTTACCTAAAGCTGTACGACTAGCTTGCGACGAGACCAAGACCTGGAGCTGAGCACGAGCATCACGGAGGATTCTGCCAGGAATGCGCCGTCTCCGGATAATTCGTGATGCGACAAGCACGACAGAAGCCTGGGGTTTTCCCGGTCCTTGCGTGTGCGACATACCTGGTCGACAGCTCGCAAATTCCCCGAGTGAAGAAACGGTGGCTTGAAACCAACAAAATGACCTTGAAGGGCTACACCGTGCGGGAATTGTGAAGATTGAATGATCCAGCTTCGCTTTTGCGCTGGGCGGTTGTTTCTTTTGGGCTCGCTCAGGGGTACCCTCCGCAGCTGGACTCTTGTTCCGCCCGCACTGTAACCCCAACCCTAAGAAATAGGGAGCCACGAACAGCTTCGTTCGGTCTCTTGACCTGGAGATGTATATCGGCAAATAGGCAAGAACGATTTGGTTTGCAGAGGGGTCGGCATTGAGGCATGAGATGGAACCGAATTGTATCATTGAGATAAATCGAAGGTGCTGACAAGGAAAGAAAGTCGTCTGGAGATAGTAATTCGCAAGTCGAAGCTGTTGAAGTTGCTCTGCCAGTACGAAGGCTGAGTCGCGGAACCTATCTGCTACCCGCGATTGTCTCGGAGTCCTCTAGTCTCAGGGGCATGCTCCTCCAATTTTCCCACCAGCGTTCACCAGTCTTAGGCCAAATCGCCCCAAATGCTTCGATGAAGTCCTCAGCTTGGTACCGCTCTGGTTCGCTGGCGACATGGCCCCATTGCGCTCCAGCGTCCATTATCTCGTCGTAATGCAGCATTTGGATGCTCTCATAGCCATCACGACGGTTGCAAAGCCACGGTCGTGCAAACCATGACAACATCCAGGACAACGACCTTCCGCGAGAGTGAAAATCCCAAGCCCGACCATGTACGTGCTCTGTGACTAGTTGAAGTTGCCGGAGTCGGTTGTTTTGAGAGCATATAACGTTGAAGATAGCGTGCGCCAGGTTACCGTCGACCGCGGCATTGGCGATGAGCTGTATGAGGTGCTCCCGTGAGATGTAGTCAGGTTCATCCTCCTCGACGTTAGGGTCTGTGTTCCGCTCGCGGCTAACGGTGTTGCAGAGCGTCAGAGATAGGCGTTGTAGTCGTGGTAGACGAGCAAGGCCACGGTACACCGCACATTCGCTAGCATCACCAAGCGTCCGGAGCACGGGAAACGAGGCGAGCTCTAAGTTCGGGCACTGCTCCGCCAGTTGACTAGCAATGATTGGAGTCAAGACCATAAGCGGGGGTGGAGCGTCATCGTCATCGCTGTCGACCTCATCTTGAACACCGGCTTCCTGCCATTTGTGATCTTGCCAAATGGGGTCCAGAGAAAGACGCAACAGCGACTTGCCATGTCGCTCTCGTATGATGTCGAATAGCCCTTCATCGATATGACCCCTCAGCCTGAGGTCTCGCAACGAGTTTTGGCTCAAGACCGAGAGCATTCGGCGCAAGTCGTGGACGTGTTCCGGCCGCACAGCAACCAGTCGTAGAGTCTCAAGCGATGCCAACTCGCCGCGGGCGGCCATATCTGCTAGGTCAGCAACGGGTGTCGAGTCGCAGTGCAAAGCTAGGGACCGGAGCTTTGAAACGTCGGTGAGCGGGGCCCAGGTGCTGAAGTCAAAGGTGGGCTTGGAAATAAATGTCATCCTCGTGGACAACAGGCTCCGAAGGCTGCTCCCCACGCGGCCTTCGGGGGAGAAGGGGCGAGTGGACGGGGCGGGCGACTTGATGATGATTTTGTTGGGGACGGCCGCTGCGGGAACCAACCAGACATGTTGAAGGTTCGGCGCCGCGCCCGCCACCATGCCACGAATCACCTCTTCGGTGCAATTGAGTTCGTCGGGATTGGGCGGGTTATGGCGGAATGTCACAACAATGCTGTGCAGGGCTGGTGACGTTGCGAGCGCGTAGTCATCTGGATTGAGGGTGACGACCTGCGGGTCGTGGCCCCGGGGCACGATGGCACTGCTGAGATGGAAGCGGTGCATGTGGAGACGGCATGTTCGAACGTCGTGGACCGCCGCGAGGACTTCACGGGGGATGGGGCAGAATCCCCAGACCAAGTCTGCTAGAGCGGGAAAACGGC